CACAATATCATTGTAGTAAACGCCTAAATTCGTAATTTAAAATTAGTAACTAAATTAATACTTTGTATTATGTCAAATGAAAAAAATAAGGTTAAAACTTTTAGGTTATGTAAGGCTCATAACATTAATATATAACATATAAACTCTATTAGAGGAAATAAGGTAAATCGTTATCTAATTCAACAAAAGTTCAAACAACTGTAAAACGCGGTTTACAAAACGTGTACCTACAATTGCCATTTGATAAGGCAGCTAAGAAATTATTTTGACACGTTTACAATTCACTTAGCAACTAATCTCTTAAGTAATATGAAATGTATTTTACACTAACTGTTTTTCGGGACTTTGTCAGCGTGGAATTTAAAAAAAAAAACAATACGCATAGATACTCTCGCATAAAAATAAGCTATCAGTAAAAGACCTATCAAATTTAGTACATAGAATAGCGGATAAGCTACTTGACGTCCCGGAAATTTTTACAGAATAAATAATTTAGTTTATTTAATTGCACGAGGACTAAGTCAAAGGCAACAGCTGATTACTCTTTTTACGTAGCCAAATCTTCACATATATTCTTTATGAATAACTTAAATCTGTAGAACATAGGATGCATCATTTCTTCACGAACAGAACACTCATTCGTGACGTGGAACGCTTTAATATTTCATGCATACAAATAAATCAGGTATTCGTCATTTGCACGTAAATTAGCGTTCGACCTTCCGACGTAAAGCTTCGCACTGGCATTACACATATAAATATAAACAAACATCTCATGTCACTATGTATGTCCGAGATAAACTCTGAAACTATCACCGATTTTAACGACATTTCGTAACTATATGTTATTTGGCCAAAATAAAAAAAAAAAACAATTTAATATTTTTTTAATATATTTGGTTTAAATTTAACCAACATTCTTTAACTTTTAAAGGAACACAATACTATTTTAAAAATCTTATTTAAAAATGTAATGAACACCTTGATCATAAATTTTTTTACTCTCAAGGTAACAATAATCTTTGGATTTTGAATCGATTATTGGGTTCGACTGTTAGCATCTAGAGTTAGCTAGGAAATGTGTTAGTAAAATCATCGAGTCTGGTAATACAATCTCGCTGGCATCACAAGCCGGACGACACGCTAACGACGCGCGGACCAAAATAAAACGCGATGTTAGCCGCGCGATTAGCTGTTTTGGTGAATCACTGGAGAAAGACGCTTTGTCTGAGTCGAGTAAAATGATTTAAAATTTCTATTTCGATGCCAATTATTAATAGATAAACAATAGAGCAAATAACATTACTTAAATGCATAGATAATATAGAGGTAATGAATATTATAAATTATGTGAAAAAAATAATTAGTGGACGAACTCTTGAAATTGTCTCAAATTCTTCAAATTTTCGAAGATAACGGATTCAATATAATTTTATACTTTGTAAGACAGATATAACAAAATTCTTATTATTAGTAGCAATTTAATTAATAATAACAGTGTTAATAGCCAAAATGTGAAAAGATTTGATAGAGAGCAACAAAACCTCGGAGTCTTGCACCGTGACTAAACACTAGGGTTACCAAAACACATTCAACAAATCCACATTTAATTAAAGATGTACTCACGCATAAAAGAATAATCCAATGAAAGACAAATTAGTGATTATGGTCGTCCTGAAACCGTACATACTGGAGTGTCCAGTAGCTTAAAGCGAAGATATTTGTCTACACAAATGTCAGTGCTATAGAGTTCAGCGGTCAACGGTTACTTTTTACAATATGTCTCGATATTTTTGTTTTTGTTACTTTAGAAACATTGAGTAAGATGATGATTAAATATTTATTAGTATTTAGAAGTAGGCAACCCTATACGACTATGCGGTCACAATGCGGCCGCGTCGGCTTCCGTTACCGTCGTCTCACGGCACGTAAGCCAACACCGACCGACGTCGCGACGGCGCCATTGTCCCTACCCCTACACTAGACCAGACTAGTCTAGCCTAGTCTACAAAGAATGATCTAAATTTGGTACTGAAAACGATAAGTAAAAGCGTATGGTCTAGACCACCATATTGTTTAACAACTTCATCTTGTGACCCAATGGAGAATCCAGGATTGTAACTGGAGGGTAAAAGTAAGATCCATCTTGGACGTTGAACCCATCCATACGAAAAAAGCTACAGTCTAACATAAGAAGCAAATTTTTTTTCTATAAAATGCACTAAACATGTCTGACTACAGCCATTACCTGAGTTTCGCGATACGCTAAGAGACCGTTAGTCTTTTCTAAAAACTTTTATGTTCGCTGCAACGGTACAAATGTAATGTTTCGGTTACGCTTTGTGTTTTAGGCAATTCTTTCCGTCGCTCACAATTCGCCGTTGGTTTGCGTCAGATTGCATTTACCTGAGGATTGGACCGTAATGTCTTGTGACAAAATGATTGTTGCTTAATCTGTAATGCTATATGTTGTGGTCATATTTAATCTTGATATTATCCTTACAAAATAATGTCCGGGAGTTAAATTTATAGTTTAATGATTCCATAGTAATTTTTTCAAATATAGATACTTCAAAAACTCTTTACGTCACTAAATTATTTCAATCCCAAATTATTTTAATATTTGAAAAAAAAAATCCTTCTACTGTGTGTAGAAAACATTACACACATTTTTTATTTAAATCTTCATCCAATATATTCTATCTTCATAAAATATATGAAATAAATATCTCGGTACAGAATATATAACAAATATGTAGGAAACACAGATTTCATTATAAGTAATAATCAAAAAATATAGGTCTTGGAATGTTTACTTTGCAAACTACGCATTATAAAGAATTTCACAACAAAAATACATAAAAATCATCACATTGCTGACCCAGTCATAGGAGATTCCGAGAACTTGACACAAACAAGCTGACCTCAAAACTAACCACTAATTAAAAAAAAATGATGCAATACACTAATTAAGAAAGATTTCATCATTCATTTGTTCTTAAAAAAAACTCAAAAACTACTATAATATTGTGAAAACTCTTTACTCTTAAGAGTATTGGAAATCGACTTGAGGTTATGTATGAATGTATGGATGTGGAAGAGAAAGGTGTGATATGAACATGGAAAATAGAAATCCGTAATCTCTGCCTATTCCTTTGGGTTATAGGCACATTGTTTTGATAACTCTCTTAATAGAAACCTTCACACACACAACTTCATACCTTTCAAATAAACGGTTATTTTTTATATGTCTAACTGTACAAAAAAACAGATTGTCAGTCTACATAAAAAATCAATTTCTTACTAATATTATAAATGCAAATGTTTGGATGCATGGATGGATGTTTGTTAGAACATACTTTCAGAAACATTGCATACCAAATTTGCTAAAATTAGGCACAGATGTAGAACCATAACCTGGAAGAATATATAGGCTACTTACATTTTTTGTTTCCGAGCTGAAGATGATATGAGCAATAGGATTTGACAAATTTTCATTTACTTTGATATAATTTTCACTTTTGCTTTGCAACACATATAGAGTTACAAAACAGAATATAACAATTCTCTCTATTTTATCATTGTCACTAATGAGTTAAACTATTTACAACTTTTGTCCATTGATAATGTGAATGACAAAACAAGTTTAGATAAGAAAAGTTTTTTATAACTTGTTTGGATATATTTGTTTCCAGTTTCATACATTAGCACATATTGCGGACAAGACTGACTGTTAGAGTATTCCATGAGTTACATTGTCATCTACATGCCCTTACAAGAGTTAGCACAGTACATACTGTATCTGAATTTGCTTCTTTCTTGTGCATATCCTCTATCACAGAATCTATACTTTCTTCGGTCTTTCTCATACCTTTTCAATTGTCTATACTTTTGTAGCAATCCATATTAAATTGCCATAATTTTTGTTTATGTCTTTATCTATCAGTTTCAGATTCTCAATTTCTCTTTACTTGTCCTATTATCAATTTCACTTGTCACATCACACACCATCTACACAAGCCATTTAACCAACAGCAATCATATAATATTCTTGCATAGATCAATGTTATAAAAACCATGAAGTTTAAAATGGACACTAATATCAAATATGCACAAAAAACTACAGTTTATAGCCTGTCTATGTAAAAAGGATAGTGATATATATATGTAGGTAACAATATTTACCTATAATGTCTACCTCCTATATCCTACCTACATTTAAATTATTCAGTCATACAGTAAAAATAATGAATAAGATGAAATTTCCACACGGAAAAGTATAAAAACAGTTATTATAATCATTTCTTTATAATTAAAAAAATGTGAAAGTTGAATAGATGTATGGATTACTTATACCATGTATCTCCAGAACGGCCAAATTTATCTTGATGAAATTTGGATAAGAAATATATTACAGTTGGTTAGTACATTAATATATATGGTGCATTTTATGCATTTATAAAACTCTTTAAGGTACTATTTATTGGTGTATATATTTTATATGCTGTACTTTTCATGTACAAAACTTTTTGAAACTATTTGTACACATTGTATTTGACACTATTCACTCATTTGCTATTAACTTGGGTATCAAAAAATTACTATTTCTGCTTACCTCAATTTGAATGGTGTTTTGCCTTACATGTAGACGAATATTTTAAAATTACAAAAAAAATTATAATGAAAATATGACGAATTTTCACAACCAATTTTAGCATAAATTAACATGTGTGAACGATAACTAATCAAAAAAACAAATTACACGTCTATACATAAACGTTGTAGGTATAAGAACAAATGCATAAATATGACATTTATCCTTCGCCATTTTCACCTGAGTTATTTTAGCGAATGCACGAAATAAGCAAACATTAAATTGCAATATTAACAAACAGAAAAGTTTGTTGCATCATTAAAAATTAATAAAGTTGATAATAAATTCCCGGAAAAGTCATTACAGCCTAACAAATGTATAAAATGGCAGAAGGGGGTCGACTTACCTCAACATCAGCATTAGCTGCGGCGTTGGGAGGCTTATGGTCCGAATTATTTTGCTGTTCCTTTACTAGATTGTATAAAACTTTCGAATCGTCGGTAGAAATATTTGTGACACTTTTATCTGGGGCTTTCGGTTCCTTATCATACTCCGGTGGAGGAGCCATCTTGAAGGAAGAGCAATCAGACAGATGACACAAGTCTTATGACTTTACCACACTCAAATCACCCTCTCCACCTTTTTTTATGGTTTCACTGCCTTAAAATTAAATCATTATGATTTATAAATTTATTTACTACACATCTAAAGTTCTACGAAACAGAAAAACCGAATTCTTCATTTTCGACAGATTCCATCTAACATTTTTCCAATTTTTATGAATAATGGTGACTTTAGTACGGCCCGGGCGCCCTCTGCTGGCATAACATTTCTTTTAACAGTTTAAAAATAATATTTTAATAGCCAGCAACACCTTCTTCTAATCTATTTATAAAATCCTTTAAAACTTTAATTTAATACGAGGTAGCAGTACTTTGCATTTCATAAAGTTTAAAAAATAACAAATAGTGATAGATTGAAGCGCAAAGTTTATTTAAATAAACGTCCTTTTGAAGCGATTTTGCTGTGTTATGTTAGCACTAAAAAATATAGACAACTATACTGTGAAGAATAATAAACAAAATTAGGAAAGCTCAAGTTTTGATCAATATTTAAGTTTAAGTAGCAAAATAAAATAAAACCATAGTTAAGAATAAAACTTACTTTTCCTGTTTTTTTTTCAGAGTTGGTCTCTATACATGCAATACTCTTTGGTTAAATGTCACTCAATGTCACTTTGGTACTGCTGAAGCTGAATGCTGATATCACGGTCACAAAAATTGTCATTGCGTATCTGAAAACTAAACAGGTTTAAGAGATTTAAACACTTTGCAGCATATTTACATTGCTTATTACAGAAAAACCCACACTAATATAATGGGTGAGACTAAAGAAAACATTTTCCTTTTCGTTCCCAATATAATTGGTGAGTACTTGTCTAGTTATGTATAATCGATCGATCGAATTTAATATTTTGCGTCATTGTTTATATTATGTATTACAGGATTTGCGCGTATCTTCCTTGCTATTATAGCATTTTATTATATGCCTACCCATTGCGTATTGGCATGTATTTGCTATGTAACTTCGGCTTTATTGGACGCGGTCGATGGTCATGCCGCGAGATATCTCAATCAAAGTACGTAGAATGTGGCAATATGTGTTTTTTAATTAAATTAGTTTATCTGTTTAATATATTAGTGCTCAGAGTTAAGATCTATAAGTTTTTTTTAGCAATAAATATGCTTGATACAAGTGTTGAATATAAATTACTATTTGGACGATAATAACATGGATAAATGTTGGACCACTGTCCAACACCTAAAATTTGATTTATAGAGAAATATTTCTTTTTACATTTATACAAAAAAAAAGTATTTTTCGCTGATCTTCTTAATTCAACAATTAATCATCAATATGGATGTAATTCTTTATTCATTGAACAAGTGACCAATGGTTTCTGATACCAAAATCTTCTATAAAACATATAGTCATCCCTTTTTATCTTTGACAAAACAGTATTGCTTTAAATGGGGATCTTCTTCTCAGAAATCAACAATAAGTCTGCACTTATAGAAGTATGTTAGTAGGATATATTTTAATAAATATGTATATGTAATATAAACAGGTACTAAATTTGGAGCTATGTTGGACCAGCTGACTGATAGAGCGGGAACAGCCGGCCTCATGATGACACTGGCAACATTTTATCCTCGTTACACTTTCTGGCTGCAAATGTCTATGGTTATTGATATAACTGGGCACTGGTTATACCTTCACACTTGCACCCTCCAAGGGAAGACGTCACATAAGTTTATAGATATGTCCGAGAATCCAATAATGCATGTGTACTATACCAACAAAACTGTACTTTTCCTTATGTGTGCTGGAAATGAAGCATTTTATGCTACACTGTATGTTATGCACTTCTTTACTGGACCTACAGGTAAGATTATATATTAGGCATCATATTGTATTGGTTATCATTCATTTCTCTCTATCTACCCTCCCTTTGCCTAACAAGGAAAAGATGGGACAGAAAAGTGAATTTAGAAGAGGTGGAAGTATAGATAGATAAACATGCCTTTTCTCTATGTTCTCCTTTGTCCATTATGGGTAGACAAGACATACTAATTTTATATTATACTAGCTGTCACTCAAACTTTGTCCACAAAATTAGTAGCCTATGTGTATTCTAGATTTTATTCAATACTAGCTCGCTCCCGAGACTTAGTCCTTTTGGAATTAAAAAATAATAAGTAGCCTATGTGTTCTATATGTGTGCTAAATTTAATCAAAATCCATTAAACCATCCCGTATATACCTTTAAATAAACATTCATCCATCTAAACATTTGCATTAATAATATTAGTAAGATAACCACTTAGATATTAATCACCTAGTATGATAAAAATATTAATATACTGTAAATGTTTTCAGTGTTTGGTATAGGTTTATTCAATTTGATAGCTGTACTGATATTGCCAGTAGCAGTTGTGAAGGCTGGAATTACAATTGTCCATCTCATTGTGGCGTCTCTCAACTTGTCTATCATTGATGTGAACGAAAGGGCCGCTATTGCTGAGAAACAGAAGAACTAAATGTTAACGGTATTTGACTTCCTTCTAAAATATATCACTTAATTTTATTTCATGAGTATTAAGGTTTTGTGTTGTATTTCCACTGTCTAAATACTTGTATAAAACAAAGTCATTCCTTGCATACCCGTAGAAAAATCAGCCAACAGTATGTGGAATTTTATATTTTAATTTGATTTTTTGTGTACTATTTGTCAATTTTATCTCGGAAAAATGTATGAATAAGTTTGAGGTTTTAAAAATCTGATATATTTTTACATTATTAATTTATCCCTATTCTGTGTATAATTCTAGTCAAAAATACAAAGCAGTTATATTTCATCATTCTTGAAAGATTTTTAAGCCTTTAAGCTTCTATGTCAAAGAATCATACCTTTTTTCCTTATTTAATGGGGTTATAGAACTATATGTTGCTCGAATTTTACTGTTTATTTGTATAATAGTTTTTATATAAAATTAAGTACAATTTTAATAATAAATGTTGTAAATGTCAATGCATTTATTTTTTAAGGTTTTATTTCAATAATTTGTATATTGTTAGGAAGAAAATCCGGAAATGAGGCAGTGTTTTGACTCAACACTAGCCTTACTAAAATGTCGACGTATGTGTCCCATTCATTCATACACTAAACTTTGTAACGAAAGCACGTTATTCGCGCCAAAGGATTGTAATTAATGTCTAAAAATATAAAGTGGTGTTTAAATATGAATTATGGTACATTCTTCTTCTTCCTGGTTTTATCCCACTCATGTGGGGTCAAAGCAAGTTTATATAATAATAGGTTTTAGCTTATTCTTTTATGGCCGGCCACTTTCCTGATGCAAACCCACTTGGGAGGAATTAATTATGGTACATTACAATTTTATGTACAGCTTACAAACACATATAATATGTATGTTAAATTTTTTATTCCTCTTTACTAATTATATGTAAATTTTTACTTGTATATACACAAGGTCAAATTATTTGATCCCAATTGTATTTAAAACATGACTTAATTTTCAAAGTTGATTTCAAAAATATTGTAGTGTTTTGTTATTTTTAGCAGTGGATTAAAAAGAAAAATAAGTTTTATTTTTTATTGAATTTTTTAATGATTTGAGGTATTTTTAAGGTGAAATGGAACCAGTTATTATTTTTATAATCACGTGATTTTTTTGTATTTTTATACTTTCGTTCCTATATTATTAAATTTGTGACTAAATTTTTTTTAATTTTTAACTTATGTCCTTACATTGGTAATTTATTTAAATATTATACATTCTTTTGTAGTATAAATGTTCTTCATTGTTGTAATTATAATCAAAATGCATTTATGTTGTGATTAAAAACTAATAAAACGTAAAAATATTTTGTCTTTTATTTATATGCAATGACCAAAAATGGTTTATTTCCCTTTTAAAAACCACAGCAGTGATCCAGTGTTATTAAATAAATCTATAAAATAAAAATTCTTTTTTAGACTCTATATGAACATAATGGATATAGTGTTCATTGAAAATGTTGACGAAATTAAAAAAAACCACTATATTATTAAAGCATTTATTAAAGTTTTTATGTAGGCACATAAGCTATTACATAGTTAAAGAATATGAAATGCACAAATCTTATTGTTACATTGTTACTAAAGTAAATTAAAAGAAATATAAGTAATGTAAGAGATGAATCATAAATTAAAAATTCAATCAACCTTTGAGGCTACTCATTCCGGCTCTCATAATTTCATCCACAAGAAGTAAGTTACTAGCAATAATAGTACAAGAGTTAAGAATTTGCTTCTTTACGATATAGTTGTCTAAAATACCCAAATCGCGTGGTTTAATAGCTTCACCAGTGCTCAAATCTAGACCGATCGCATCAGGACTGAGACGTGCCTCTTCCTGCAACTTCACAATTGTATCCTGTGCATCATAACCTGAGTTGACAGCTAACATTTTGGGAATAATGAGTAAAGCCTCAGCATAAGCTTGTATTCCAAGACGTGCCTTGCCTTTAACACTGTCCTTGTACTTTTGCAATTCCAAGTTAGCTTTGATTTCGAACGCACCTGCTCCTGCTATTACTGCTCTGTCTTCGATAGCATTGTTAATAGCACGAAGTCCATCGCGAACGGCGTCTTTAATTTGAATAAGAGTGTGCTTGTTGGGACCCTTGATAAGAATTGTGACCGATAGAGGATTTTTACATTCCTCTACAAAGGTGTATTTTTCTTCTCCCAGGATATGTTCATAGACCAGTCCAGCGTATCCGAGGCAGCTTTCAGTGAGGTCATCTACTGAGTTCATGGCGGAGCCTCCGCAAGCCAGCGCCAGACGCTCCATGTTACGCCTCTTAGCTCTGCGGAGTGCGATCATGCCCTCCTTGGCGAATGCATCTAAAGACAGTGGGTCGATACCCTTCTGGTTGATGATGACAAAGGTCTTGTCAGTACCATCACAAACTTTTTTCTTCAAAGCAATGATCTGGAAAGAATATTCAATCTTAGTTACATAAAATAATCTAAAAAATTAAATAAGATGAAATGTTGGATTCAATAGGATTATTTATGACAATGTGACAAAACATAATGGACCACAATTTTTGCAACAAAAAAACATTTTGTAGTTACAGTTTACGTTGAAATAATTGGTAATGAACAAAAATAACTACATATTTACCTTCTTAACTCTTTGATCGATGAAATCTCTCTCAGCTGCGACAAGTTTGTCTCTCTCCTCTGCGTTTTTGTAGAAGAATCCAGAATTAACAGTTGTCTTCTCATACTCAAGGGAGACATTGCATGTCAGGATGTAGGCGTTTTCAACGCGCTTCGGCATGTCGGGGTGACGGGCACCATGATCCAAGACCAGACCTGGAAAAGTATGAATCATTTTATGCTACAATATTAAAAGTGTTTTTACACACATTTCTATACAAGAATTACAATAACCCATTTAAAACTAAGGTTTTAATTCATATCTAAGTTGATTAAGGCAAAAATTATATACGTATTTACCACCACACCAAATTAAAGAGTAATAATTCATTTGGAGTGGATTTTCTGCATTGCATTAATCTATGACATCCATATCATGAAAATGTTCTTAGTATTTCTTGTCACATTTATTGTTTTCTTTCTTCGTCTTATCAACTAGTCTCAGCACTTGTATTGAATGTCATCGTTACTACTCCGTAAAAAATATAAAGGCAGATGCAGAATTTCCAGACTTGAGGGGGCAGAAGCGAGATTCCTTTACAAACTTACTAAAGACAAGTAGATGAAGTGTAAGCATCTTACCTTTAACAAGTGTTGTTTCAGTTGCAGTCTTATGCTGCATCTGCATTAACTCAATCATGTGAAGATCTACTGGTTTGTCTCCAGTTCTTATAGCCAGAACTGCATCCACACATGCATCAGTTAACACATCAGCCAAACTGGCATGGACCTTGAACAATAAATAATTGATTTTCAATGTATCACCTAAATATTCAATATTTTTTTTTAATTTACACTGTTCTTAATTTAGACCTACTCTTTGCCACTCTTACTTCTTAGTAATATTATAAATGCAAATGTTTCTATGGATGGTTGTTTATTTGAAGGTATCTCTGGAATAGCTCAACAGATTTTGATGGAATTTGGTACAGATATAGAATACAGTTTATGAAGTATTTTTTTCTTTCCGCGCGGACGGAATCGCAGGCTGCTAGTAGTTATTATAATATCACCCTTTTGTATTAATGACTTTTTGCTCACAATTTCAGTATCACATAATTGATGTAATTTGTTTCAGTGGTGTTAGAAAATAACACAAGTTATAGTTTAATTTGGAATAGAAAATATTACAAAAATAACTAAGACAAAATCTTTACCTTAGTTTTGAGTGATGTACGAGCGATGTCTAATAAGTTCTCTCTATTAATTTCTATTGGTAATTTCATTGACTCCAATACTTCCAATGCTTTGTTGCGAGCTAAATCATAGCCTTCCGTTATTATTCTAGGATGTAAACCTGTAAAAATGTATAACATACATGTAGTACAAAATAGAATTTAACATAAACAAAATTTATTTTTTTCAACACCAAATTGATTTTTTTATAACCACCATGTATAGTCATTCTTTAGTTTACTTAATACTATAAGATTGAAATTAAATGTTTAAAATCCTTGAACAAAGTAATACAAAATATTGTTTAATATTGTATCACCTATACCCAAAGTGAAGCTACAAATTTACCTTCACTAATGTAAATTTCAGCTTGCTTCAGTAACTCTCCAATTAGTAATACTGTAGATGTGGTTCCATCTCCAGTGGCATCATCCTGGGCTGTTGACGCACGTGCAATGAGAGACGCTGTTGGGTGCTGGATTTGCATCTCATGCAACAATACATTACCATCCTTGGTTATCTTTATATCACCGGCACCGGACACTAACCTAATAAATAAAATTAAATATTAATTACTATGCGTTTAAACACGATCATGTTAAATGTTGTTAACTGCATTGTCTTTATAAATTGAGCATTTATTAGCGTTTTTAGTTTACTTTCTTTTTATTTAAAATATAAATTAAGATACTATATATAAATGATGCAGCAATGACAACCGGTAGTGCGTGATGGAAACACATGAATGTTTAGACACAATTTTTCTGTATAATGACTAAATATTTAACTAGGTTTCAATATTAAATAGTGAAATCTTTACGAAAAATACAGTATACCGCATTTAATTTGTTAATCATATACCTTAAGATAGAATTACTTACATTTTCATTGTGCCTTTAGGGCCTAGGTTAGTTTTCATTACATCTTGAATGCCTTTTGCAGCCGATATATTTAAAGCTAAAGCATGAGCTGCTCTCGCAAATTCGGCTTTAGGATTTAATAAGCTAATTGCAGCCATTATGATTTATTAAATTCACAAATTTTTTTAAATTCTGTAAGTCGTAGGTCACACTTTATGAGAATCAAAGACAATCAACCAAAGAGTTAAAGAGTGGAGCAAAAGAGCAAGATTGCAGCACTCTTTGGTACGATATAATAATTTAATGTTAATCGTAAAAAATATGGTACGATTCTGGTATGGAGGCGAAGAGGTAACGGATTATAATAAAATTTCGTAATGGAAGCAATAAGGATTTTAATAGTTTACATGTTATAATTGTAAGAGGTTATGTTTTCCAAAAGAATTTTATTCAAAAATGTACAACTTGTTCGAGAGATATTGAGGCAACTATACATTGCAAAATGGTTGTGGTTGACTTTTTCCTTTTATTTCTTTAAAATTTCTGTGTAAGTAATAATCAAGCTGATAAATTTCTTTTATTGATTGCATTTTGCAATGTAAATTTGAGATGGCATTGATAGGATTTCAAAAATAAACATTTCCTTTCATCTGATTGTAGAACGGAATTGTTGCAGTGACAGTGACAGCTGACGACTGGCTGACAGCAACAAACTTAAACTGTCAACCAGACAGCTGTAATACATATAGGTTTTTATTTCATGTATCCATTTACAGACCAAGGTAAAAATAAATGTTCTATTTCCAACCATATGTGAGAGACAGATAGAATGTACTACAGTGTGCCAGAAACTTCTGCGTGTATATAAAAGTTTACCCGGTGCTAACTTAATAAACACATTTTCGATCGAAGATGGGGGTTAACAATGAAGAAGCCGAAACTTACAAGAATAAAGGTAATGAAGCGTTTAAATCAGAAAACTATGAGGAGGCGGTGTCGCTTTACACTAAAGCGATTAATTTATCTGAAAAAGATAGCCGGGATAGAGCAACTTTTTTGAAAAATCGAGCAGCAGCCTATCTTAAGTTAAAGGAATACAAAAAAGTTATAAAAGACTGTGACGAATCTTTACAAATTGTACCCGAAGATCCAAAAGCTCTTTTTCGACGTGCACAAGCGTTGGAAAGCGAGGAAAGGTTTGAAGAAGCTTATAGAGATGCTAAAACTATTTTTACTGTGGATCCAGCAAATAAAGCTATACAGCCTGTATTATCTCGCCTACATGCTATCGTTCAAGAACGGGTGAGAAGAAATGCACAGACAAGTAATAAAGTTGAACAAATGTTTAAGTTAGCATTTGAAATAAGTGAAGAAAAAGATAAACGTCAGAAGGCTATGACTAATTTAGTTGTACTTGCTAAGGAAACTGCAGCCGCTGATGTTATGGTTAAAAATGGTGTTGTTCAAAAAATACAGCAGTTATTGAAAGTAGAAAAGAATCCAGATATATACATAAATGCAATAAGAGTGATTGGTCAGCTATGTAAAAGAAATGTAGAGCGCACACTAAGTATTATTAAAGTTGTTGGCATACCTTGGTTCCTGGAAATAATTGACAGTGATATTGAGGAGAGGGTTAATGCTGCTCAGTATTGTCTACAAGTTATACTCAATACATTCTCCGGTATGGATACAAAGAAAGATACAAAGCCTGACAAACAGTTATGTGAAAAATATAAATCTGAAATTGACACATTGCTTACATGTTTGACTTATTCTATAACTAACCGGGTTATCTCCGGTATGGCTAGAGATGCCATCATGGAGCTGATAATGAGAAACTGTCACTACAGCGCAATAAACTGGGCAGAGAGGTTTGTAGAGATCAGAGGTCTACAACGTTTACTTGAAGTGTGCAGTGAACTTGAAGAATACAAATATGAATCGGCAATGAACATCACACCTTCATCCGCAACTATTGCAGCAGCTTGCCTCGCCAGAATATATGAGAACATGTATTACGATGAAGCACGAGAAAGATTTAATAACCAAGTTGATGAATTTGTAAAAGACAAGCTTCTGTCACCTGACCTTGAATCAAAAGTTAGAGTGACAGTTGCTATCACTTCCCTCCTTCGTGGACCACTTGATGTTGGCAATTATGTTATTTCTAAAGAAGGAATAATGGAGATGATTCTTGTTATGGCTCAAACTGAAGATATCCTTCAGCAAAAAGTAGCCTGTGAATGTTTGATTGCTGCAGCATCCAAGAAAGATAAAGCCAGAGCTATTATCAATAAAGGTGTTGAAATTCTTAAAAAGCTATATACCAGTAAAAACGATGCTGTTAGAGTGAGAGCTCTTGTGGGTCTGTGTAAGATTGGCAGTTTCGGTGGTGATGATGCTTCAATCAGACCATTTGCAGATGGCTCTACCAAAAAGCTTGCTGAAGCCTGTAGAAAGTTTTTGGTTAATCCAGCTAAAGAGAAAGACATGAGAAAATGGGCAGCTGAAGGCCTCTCATATCTTACTTTGGATGCTGATGTAAAAGAAAAATTAGTGGAAGACAAAGCTGCCATACAGTCCCTTATTGAATTAGCCAAGACTGGCGACCAGTCTTGTCTCTATGGTGTGGTTACGACATTGGTCAATTTGTGCAATGCCTATGAGAAGCAGGAAGTCATGCCTGAAATGTTGGAACTAGCTAAATTTGCAAAGCATCACATACCTGAACAGCATGAACTTGATGACCCTGACTTTGTTAACAAAAGGTTAACAGTTCTCTGCAAGGCTGGTGTGACTACAGCTTTAGTGGCATTATCTAAAACTGAAAGTCACAATTCTAAGGAACTTATTGCTAGAGTATTTAATGCTATATGTAGTCTTCAAGAATTACGAGGTATTGTTGTGCAACAAGGTGGAGCAAAAATCTTGATACCTATGTCTTTAGAGGGTACACAGAATGGGAAGAAGCAAGCTGCACAAGCTCTAGCAAGGATTGGAATTACAATTAACCCAGAAGTTGCATTCCCTGGTCAAAGAAATTTAGAAGTAGTTAGACCTTTGATTGCACTATTACATCCAGATTGTACTGCATTGGAGAACTTTGAAGCATTAATGGCTTTATGCAATTTGGCTGGTATGAATGAGACAACTAGGAATAGAATCTTAAAGGAAGGTGGATTATCAAAGATAGAACAATATATGTTTGAAGAGCATGTTATGTTACAAAGAGCGGCAACGCAATGTATTTGCAACTTATTACAATCGGAAGAAGTAATAAAAACATATGAAGCTAACAATGATAAATGTAAATTTTTATATCTACTGTGTCAAGAAGAAGATATGGACACAGTTATGGCGGCGGCAGGAGCGTTGTGCATTCTGACGTCAGTTAGCAAATCCTGCTGTAGAAAATTACTGGATTGTCAAGCTTGGCTGGAGAGCCTTAGAGTCTTACTGGCTAATCCAAATAAAGAAATACAGTACAGAGGCACATATATGTTGTACAATATTATATCTGGTGATAAAGATATTGCTGTCAGAATTTTCGAAACCGATGTCATGGAAATATTAATGGCCTTAACAAAGTTAGAAGATCCTGAAGTGAAGAAAACTGTTGAATTGGCACAGAAATGCCTTGATGCCGCTGAAAGTATGGGATTAATCAGGAAACCAGATGAAAATTTTGTTCTTGAAGCATTAAAAGAAAATGAACAAGAAGTAGAGAAAAGTGAAGATTAATGTTAAGTTTATTTAAAATTTAATTATATCGTTTTTACTAACCATTTTACTTTTATTTATTGTTTACGATAAGGCTAAAATGAATCAAAATCTTCATGACAATAAAGTATTGTTTTACCATTATATTGTAGTTTTACTTTTCTATTAAATAAGCTTTACGACGAGGATGCGTGAATCTTATTAAAATAAGAAATCTGAATGTTTCGATGGAAGGATGGATGTTTGTTGTTTCTCTAAAATGCAGTCGGCATTGATCTCGCTGAAATTTGGCACAGATACACACCATAATCTGGAAGAACACATAGTTACATTAAGCATAAATTTTCAAGCTAGGTCCATTTTTCACTTGTCGTCAACGTGTGGCCGCGGTGCTCATACCGCGACTAGGTACTGTCGGGAGTGATGAAGATTTGCGTAACTCTGTTATCTAACTAGAACTAACAAGGTATCACGAAAAGAGCTACCCTCTGTTGTAAAGGACCGAGACATGTTGCAATTACGTATCTACGGTGTGGGCTACTTGTAAGTAAAACATTTGTGAATTCAGGGGGATATGACTAATACATTAGGAAAATATAAATTGAGACCCGCCTTTTTATTTGCAGCAACCGGAACCGGAAACTGAGCTTGCTCCATCAGTGTTACCATGTCCGTAGTTTTGTCTTACGAAAGGCAATCAAGAGCTGTATTCAGATATTGGCACCATTTAACTGCGTGTTACATCTTACCAGTCCAACAATAATTTTTTATAAATCTTAATATAGCAAAAAAATATCAAAAATTAATGGCTATACCAAACAATACTTACAAACGTGCAAAGCATTATAATGTAATATTTCTTTATGTTAATATTCGAAATTTTGTTTCATGTAATCAATCGTTAATTTAAATTTACAACGTAAATTATCCGATTAGTTAAGCTTAATTGTAACGAAGATAGTAATTATTATAGTTTAGTGTATTTTAGGATCGTAGTATGTTTTGGAAAACAAATTATATAACATTACAGATAAAATATTTACTTCACACAATTTATGTAAGAAATAATACAAAATCAAATAAAATTTTTGAATTTTGGTAATAATAACGTACAAGAGTATACAACGTTAAAATTGAAATTTAGTAATGTTTTTACTCTTTAAATGCGCTTCTACGCCTCTTCTTTATTCGACATCGCGTCCCCCCCTCCATGATCTCACTTCTCATCCATCCATTCCCCCGCATTTTTTTTTAAGAAAGGCTCTTTACAGTGTCCATTTTGAATCAGAGTGCTCCCAATAAAAAATAGTTCAAATTAAATAAAATAACCAAACAATAACATTCAAGAATTTGGAAAAATATTTTTAATGATATAGTTTGTTTCCATTAAAAATTCATAGAATAGCCATATTTCTTTCGGCATAAGATATTGTGACGGCGTCTCGGCGTTTTCTGAACATGACATATAAAGAACCTTTTAAATGACAGCTTGATTTGGTTTGGTTTCCGCTACTGTGCTATTGTGCTATTTTTTTGATTTTTGATATAAAATCGCAAGAAAATGTCGATATCTACAGCTACAGGTATTTAATCAATGGGATAATATTTGCATTTAAGTAGTTGTTTTAAAATAAGCTAATAATTTTTGTCAAACATGATAGAATTATGTTTTCGGACCAATGCCATGGAATCCCATATGGCGGTTCATACTTCACATGATTTAATGTCATTATATACTGAAATAAAATTTTGTTTTTAAGTTTTAATTTTACATCAATTAGTGATCAACACCTAACTAACGAAAGTTTTAGGTTAAGGCCTACTTGTTCAAATCCTATTTTAGGGCAGCAGTTACCATCTTTAACGTCCTATAACGACGTTGGTGATACCGGCAAAGACACCTTCATAGTTTAGAAGAGCTTAATATTAGTGTACACGTTGAATCTACCATGTACATAACGATATAATAATCGTGAAAGAAAATACGTGTTGTGGCGTTAAAATCGTGAATAAGCTTGAAAATGAACTTGTATGTTTTTGGTTTCGCAGATGATCGCACTGAAGGAGACGATGATACGTCACAAGGCAGCCAACCCAAGGACGAAAGTAGTGAATCAGAAAATGAGATTGAACCTCAGAGCCACAATGGTGGATCACCTAGCCCTGAGGTTCATGAGATCACTAGTGATGAAGATGATGGTGCAGTGACTAATGATGACGACTCATCAAGTTCTAGTACAGACTCGAATGACAGTTCAGAAGAATCCCAGCAGAGCACTAAGGATAGGGAGGAAGAGAAGAAGAAAGATGAAGAAGCTGTAGAAAATGGAGGAGATGAGTCAGACATTGAAGAAGTGTCTGCAGAGGATCCCCTTAACCAAGCACAGAAGTCCAAACCAATAGTTATTAGTGATGCTAAAAGTTTAGCTGACCTCACATCAAAACAGAGTAAATCTAATGAAGGTGAAAATAAGGAACCCACTGTAGTTATCATTGATACAAACTCTATAATGTCTGGTAAAAATACATCAGTACAAAATAAATCATCAACTAGCAATTTTGATGCACATAATTTATGTCAAAGTATAGCTGCTCGAGGCACCACAATCACACCAGTAAGTTGCAAGGGCAGCACCTCATCAAAAAACAATACAACCACAGCGCCTCAACCCAATATACTGCCCTCATTGACTGATGATATGTTTGTGGTTGAAGCACCTTCATTCATAGTTCCATATGTATATGAGAAACCTTCAGTTAAACCATTTAGAGAATTTGTTGACAAATTAGGAAAACAATTAGATGAAGTTAAACTTAAAGAAGATCTGGAGAAAATGCAGAGTGCAGATAAAAAAGATAAGGGTAAACATGACAAGTCTGAGAGTGACGAAGAAGGTGACAGTGACAAGGAGAGTAAGAAAGAGATGGAAGAACCACCAAAAGAAAAGAAACCAGATAAGAAAAAACGAAGGAGACCTAATACAGATGATGATGATTCCTGGGATGGTGAATCTTCAAGTGAATCTGATGAGGATGCCCTATCTGATGATGATACGGTGGTAATCAAAGAAAAAGATGATGCAGAGTTGAAGGATCCTATTAGTATTATATCAAAAGGCCTCATGGGTAAAGGTGACAGTTACTTTGATTGCTCTCTTGGACAGTTTTTTATTAACATTGGCCTTAATCTTGTTCAAGAATATGTTCAAAGCGATTTACTGAAGCACCAAAATAGAAAATTATATAAAGAAAAGAAATCCGGACGTAGTACTAAAGCCACTGAGTCTGCAATTGTATCCCTCACACAGAACTTAGAGTTCAGTAAGAAGACAAATGCTCCTTATGCACTCCAACAAAAGAAATGTGAATTTTGTAGTTTTAAGACAGAATCTATGCTCATAATGGCCCATCATTTAGAAGCACCTCATATGAAGAATAATATTTACAAATGTAACACATGTCCATTTGAGATTCGCAGTCCACATGATATATTGTTTCACATGGAGGCAGAACACAATATCAGAGGCAGGCTTGAAAGGGCACCGGCTTACCAGCAATGTCCCAATTGTCACTTTGAAGATAACAGTAAGACTAAGCTAGCGAGACATCACATTTCGTGCGCTAAGAAATTCAAACCAGAATTTAACTTAGCACCACCACTTGAGTGGGAACCTCCAGCAAAAATACCAAAGTTAAACCGACCTCGGAATAATATAATACCTTATCAACAGAACTTCAGTAGGTCTCAAGTTGGTGTTAATAACATGGGTAGACCACAGCATCAGGTTAATGTTAACCTTTCGGGTACCATGCCAGTTTTAGGAAGACCACGAGGCCGTCCCCCTATGACTAATCCTGTGCGGCCACCTGTTTCAGGCGTACCCATTTTACGCGGTGGAGTAATGATTATGCATAACAATCCTACTGGAACATCCATTACTAATTATCCTATGATGCAAAATAATCAAGCTGGAAATAATACATCGGCGACTCCAAAGATATCAATTACTCCATTGCCCAGAGCACCGCAACCATCCTCATCTCAAATACCGCAAAACTCGAAAGCGTCATTTGTTATCTGTGAAATATGTGATGGTTATATCAAAGACTTGGAACAATTGAGAAATCATATGCAATGGATACACAAAGTGAAAATTCATCCTAAAATGATATACAATAGACCACCACTGAATTGCCAGAAATGTCAATACAGGTTCTTTACAGATCAGGGACTTGAGAGGCATTTGTTGGGTGCTCATGGATTGGTAACCAGTTCCATGCAGGAAGCGGCTAACAAAGGCAAAGATGCTGGGCGATGTCCCGTGTGCGGCAGGGTCTACCAGTGGAAACTACTCAACCATGTATCCAGAGATCACAATAAGACATTAAAACCGGCACACCTTTCGTACAAATGTACAGTATGCACTGCAACATTTGGTATGTACAAGCAATTTGAGAATCATGTGTACTCTGCCCATAGTGTGGTTGCTAAGAGAGTTATGGACAAAAATAAGACGGCAGCCGCACCATCAAAGCCTGCTGATACAGAAGCTACACTGAAGCCGTTGAAGATTAGTGACGAAATAACAATTATTCCACAACCTAAATCAAATGTAACCATCACGGCAAAAGGCAAATAACATTACATAGAGTTAAAAAAAAAATCGCACTGACGCCGGTCACGAATGTAGCCTTAAAGTGATGCACCTTCATGTTATAAAGCAGTATTGTGTAAATAGAGTTAAATGCATTGTCATAATTATTTAAAATATACACATTGGGAAGCAAAGATTTAGTGACAATTAAGTGTGGATGATAATGTAAGTTATTCTAATAATAAGATATTACAAATTACAAACATATGTCATAGTTTAAGATGTAAATTCCGTGTATATTACCTTTCTAGGTGTCCAATCAAACATGTACTCTGTGGAAATAACTACATACTGCTTCACAATGTTTGTATGAATATAAATCCTATTGTTTTTAATGTGATGTCACAAAATGTGATTGTAAGTCTTAAGAGATCTGCGTTGTCACATTGAATTATTTAGTGGAACTATTTGAATGTGTATTAGATGTAGTTTTTAAAATTTCAAAATTAAAAAAAAGGTATAATAAATATTTACTTGTTTTCAATCAAG